TCCCGGTCTAACACAACCGGTTAAAATGGTCGGTGGTAACCGGGATGGCCAACACGTTTTTGATAAGACCCAGAATTGCCCGAGACCCATCACAACTCTACAGTACAGACTCTTTCTTCTCTCTTAACTAACTGAAACTAACTCTAAACCACAAACAAAGTCTTTCTGTTCAAACTAACACACAAATTTTAAAACAGCTTCTTACATTTTCTTGTCTTCCACTCTCTGTATTGTTTTGGTTATGCATTTTGTAGTCAAATGGCTCAATGGTTCTTGTCTTTAAGGTTTCCAACTGGCTATAGATGTCTCTGGTGCACAAACTGCTTCAACCGTTAACCATTTCAGCACATTTGGACACGGGTCTTTCCCGAAATTGCTGTTGGATATCGTCACTGCGCATCTCGCTTTCCCTACACACTTCTGCATATAACAAAACACAGATACATTGCGGTTATATAACCAAAGAGTGTGATTGTAATATTGTTTGTGTAAAGAATCGATATTTTACCCTCTCTAAGATAGCGTATGAGGTAGCTGCATGACACTCTCCTTGTTGGTAACTCCCGCATGTTCCTAAAGGAGTCCCGAAGCTTGCGAATTTGATAGCTGAAATGGCTTGACCAGGACTACATTTCAAATGAACCTTGGGTCTATGAAACGTCTGTCCTTTCCCGTAGCTTTCGATTTGCCAGTTCTTGATATTCGGGTGGTATTCAGAAACTTCAGCACAAACTCCTGATACCGATCTTTTGACAAGAGAAACAGTTGATGGGTTTCCACCAAGTTCCTCTAATATAACCAACAGATTTTGGCTCGGCTTTAACCATGATCTTGGCACATGGTACCATCTTTGTGTAGGTTGACCACAGCCGGTTTGACATTTGTTCGGTTTATATGTTCCGGTGTAGCTGCAATGACTACAGTCACCAGTGGCAAATGCAGTCCAGTATCTCCCAATGCTCTCACCATTCACCCAAATCTGACCTTTTCCCATACCTTCCAAGTCCAAAGCAAGCGGCTCGTTTCCTTCAGGTGCATCAAAGTATGTCTGCAGAAGAAAAAAAAAGATTTCTCGGTTAGTTCAGATTCTAAACCAGAAAAAAAGCATGTCGAGTTGTTTGATCTGGTTTGACCTTGTGCCATGTCAAAGGCTGAGGCTTTTGTACAGTTAATGACGCATCCATCCACCCAATAGAGGGAGTGTTGGTTGGAAATGCAAGATTCATCGCTTCACCTTTCAGTCCCACCTGATGAAAACAGAGTTAAACAACTTAATGCTAAAGCAAATGGAAATCAAGCGAGAGAGATCACGAGAAAATGGGATTGATAAAACACCTGGTATGTCCATTTTTGCCATGACAAATCCAATTTCCCTTGTTTCAACCCGTGTAATGCCACGGGACCCAAGATTCCAGTGTTCCATGACTCAAAGTGTCCACCAACATTCTTCAAAAATGAATAAAGGGGTCAGGATAAGAGAAAATCAAAAACAACTTTAGCAACAGATGATAAAAGAGTACTAACTGGTAATCCAACAGCAACACTTAGCAACGCGATTCTGTTAGTTCCAGAATGTAGATTGACCTTTCCCTTGAAAGTGAATCTCCTGTTTTCCCTTGTTCCAAAGGCAGAACCTGCAATCCATTATATTAAAGTTTGCATATCAGAAACTCTCTAATGGAAGTTAATGGGCCAAACTATTGGGAAGTACCATACCTGAAAGATGTCCATTGACAAATATATGCACGGCATGACCAGTAGATTGAATAATGAGAGTTGGTAGCTCTCCTCCATGCAAGAATGATTCAGTTTCGCCGATATCAACACTACATACAAATTCCAAATGTTGATTAGCAAGTGCGAGAATTACACTGAAGCTACAGAGAGTTTACATCGTATGAGATAGCAAATGGTTTTTTATTTATTTTTTTACCTAGTCATGTACCAAAGGTAATCACTTGTGTCTCGTGTGACATTTATCTGCTCCAAGAGTCCTTGAGTGGTGAATGTGGACCTATCATCTAGAGAAGAAAGATCTTCCAAATAACTCTGCCACTGGAAATTCTCGATGTTTGTCGGCAACATTTCCATCTGTGATGTTTGAACTCCAACCTAAATCAAACAAGAGAAATCCACAGTTTTCAGAAAAATCACAAACACAATTTGAGAAACCACAATCCCAATTTCAGACCAATCATATACTTTTACCTTTGCAGTATTAAAGACTGCATTTCTACAGTCAGGAAGAATGCTGATCGACCAAGGAGGTAAGTTATAATGAACATTGTTAAACAATACTCTTGCTGCAGATTCTGTATCATAGTTTGCAAGGAAAGCTGAACAACCTCCTGATTCTGAAGAGTATACATGAGCCTACGAAAAAAAGTGGCAGAATTTAGTAGAAGCTACAGAGAGTTTCTAAAGCTAAACCAAACAGTATCTATCAATATAAATGCATTCTTACCTGTTGTTTGTTTCCTAATGATGTAACAACAGGATCAGTTGAAACCAGAGCTTTTTCACACATCTTGATAGCTCTGTGGAGCTCCTTTAGGTGACCATATTTAGGTTGTCTGATTAAACCTATTTAACATTTAACAACACTCAATCAGTACATAAAGCATCGCATTAACCTTATATTCCAATCAATGTGTAGGGACTTTTATTAGTTTCCAGCCCTTACCATATTCGTCGATCGGAGCATCATAATCATAGCTGGTGGTGACAAATGGACCTCCGGCTGTTCTTCCAAAGTTAGTTCCTCCATGATACTGTTGTTAAGGAAACAGAGAAAGATTGCCTTCAGGGAAAACCAATTCTTATACCGATGATTAATTAAGTGGTTAACTCTGCATAGTACATACCATGTAGTAGTTAACAAAGGATCCACCTTTTTGAATGAAACGTGCAACAGCAAACGCCAGATCCTGAACTGGTCTCTTGTGCATTGGCCCACCGAACTCAGTGAACCTTTATGATACATATCACAATTCAAAGGATAAAAACGATTATCTATTTAAAGATGGCAAGTCCATGTATACACATGAAGTAAAAACAAATAAGAATCTGTACCATCCACTCCATGCCTCTGTCCATATCGTAGGCTTGTATGGCTTATTCGGAGCAAATGAATCGCAGTAGAAACCGTTGCATGTGTTAATCTGTCACCAAAACCAATGAGTTTGAGTTAAATCTCCAAAGACATTCAACCGCTCCAGACCAATTAACTAGCCAAATCTCGGTAACTTATTACTAAGCTTATGCGATCAAGAAACTCACCACGGGGTCAGGGGCATCGTCTTCTTTGCACATGACCCACGGGACGCCAGTTTCAGTTGCTATAGCCATTTTAGCAGCCCATGTCATGTAGTTGTGACCTTCAGCACCCAATAACTGACCTTGTCTTCCATATTCATTCTCAATCTATATTCGAATAAACGATTACACCTTTCTGTT